AATAGCTGCACTGTCTGATATGATGGCTACCTGTGTGCGGCTACTGAGCTCTTGAAATGAGGCTAGTCTGAAATGAGATGTGCTGTAAGTGTAAAATACACACTGGGTTTCAAAGGCTTAGTATGAAAAAAAGATAAAATACTCATTAATTTTTTATATTAATTACGTGTTGAATTATAATATTTTTGATATATTGGGTTAAATAAAGTATATTATTAAAATTAATTTCACTTGTTTCTTTTACTTTTAAAAATGTGGCTATTAAAATAATTAAAATTACATATCTGGCTTCATTCTATTTCTATTGGTCAGGGCTGGACTGAAGGTAAGCAGGAAGCTGGTGTGTGCTCAGCTAAGGAGTCTGGACTCCCTCCTGAGGATGGTGAGTCCCCAGGATGTGGGGGAGGGACATGATATGCTTTGCTCAGAAAATCACTCTGGCTGAGGGGTAGAGAATGAACCAGAAGAGGAACAGATTGGGAGTCAGGAGGCTGTTGTAGGACTGTAGGCAGGAGAATGGAGATCGGAGAACGGAGGCCAAATTTGAGGACTTTCAGGAACTAGGTCTAACAGCTTATTGGATGTGGGCTGTGAGGGAGGGATTGGGGTAGACTCTTGGGTTTGCAGCCTAGACAAATGAGTGAGTCAGAGTGCAAGACTGTACTCAGTGAAGGCCTAAAGTGAAGAGTCCCCTACTAGAGTGTAACCTGGGTGAAGGCAGGACTCAGGCCAGGGATTCAGTAAATATTTGAATGAATGTTAGAAAATCCCCTCAGACTAAAATGTGTGGTTCAGGAAATGTGTCATGGATGGGCTAGAAGAGGAGAGGTCAATGATTAACTGCTGCATCAGTGGGAAATAGAAATTGGAGGTCAGGAAGAGAAGCCCCCCGAGGCCATGTTTGCCACCCCAGGTTCCTATGAATGGCTGCAAGGGATCCCATTGCTCACCCTCAGCCAGATGCGTCACAGGTGCTGGGGGCTTGGTTGGCATGAAGATATCTTCTTCAGTTTCCTCAGCCCCTGTGCTAGTTTTCATGAGGAGAAGGAGAAGGTGGGGTGATGAGGCTGAAGAAAGAGGAGGGAGGATGCTGTGGTGTGAGAGGTGGATGTGGGAATGTGTTTGTAATAAGGGCGTATTCTGAAAGCACCTACTTGCTGTTACTGCCACCCATAAGTGGACCCATCAGCCACACCTGAATGTAGACAAACTCTCATGTCCATTTACCTGAAATGTCAATAATTGGAAACGGAGCCACTAGGGAATATAGATTTCACCTCACTTCCTTATTTATGCTTGGGAAAAGAAATGTAATTTAGTAAAAAACAAAACTCTGAATGGAGATTAGGAGATTGGGGTTCTGTCATGATCTTTGTGAGTGCATGCAAGTCACAGAATCTGCATCTCAGTTTTCTCATCTTTCAAAATAGCAATAATCATACTAGTCTTGTCTATTTCAGATTAGTAGTATTGAATGAGAAAATGCATGTGAAGGGCTTCAGAAAGTTAGAAGTGTGCACTGAAGTTAGAAGATACTGATATGTACAATGAACAATGAACCCATAGAGAAGTATTTGGTTTGAATAAATCTGAAGGATAGAGAAATCATTAGGTGTGTGCACCATGGAGCAAAAGTGGGTCTCCCTGTCCGTTTGTGGACAGAGCTAGCCATCCCAAAGGGTAGCCTGGCCCTTCATAGTTTCATAGTTTCATAGTTTCATAGTTTCATAGTTTCATAGTTCTTTGCCTCCAAGAAGAACTCACTGGGTGAGGGTTGGACATGATAAATAGTGAGATGGCTGGGCCAGTGGGGGTCGGTGCTGCAGACTCTTGTATCCTAGTAAACTTACAGGTGTGTCATGAAAGAGGCAGGGGGTTTGTTCAGAAAATCCACAGTGCTCCCTTTGTATTCAGATTGGTTATTTCTGCTCTGTTTCATTAATTTGTACATTTGTTCGTTCATTCATTCTTTCAACAACGTGTGTCCAAGCATTCAAACCTCCTCCATCCTTCAAAGCTTACCAAAATTCTACCTACTTCAGAAAGCTTGTCCATCCCAGTACAGCACCCTCATCTACACCTCTCATTTCTTTGTCATCTGTTTGTGTTATCATTGTTCTCAATTTCTTTCTGGACATAGAATCCATGTCCTAAACATCTTTGTGTCTCTACAGCACTAGCACAGTGCCACATAAACAGAGGTGCTGGGGAAATAAGAACTGAAGGAATGAACAAATTGGGTGGATGGATGGGTGGGTAGCCCTGGATCAGGGAGCATTTTCTATATTTTCTGAGCTGAACAGAGAAGGGAGTGTAGCAAGTCCAGTTCTAGTTCTGGCCATGGAAGGTAGCAATGGGAAGGCAAAGACAATTACTAGGCGCAGCCATTAGGGACCCTGCTGCCTGAAGATGGCACTAGAGGCCACTTGGGGGTATCCACTCATGCAGCTCGTCTTTACTCGGCACCTACTCTGTATAAGACCCTATGCCACAAGTTAGGGGAAAAGAGATGACTGTATCATAAATTCAAAAAAATGTGGAGCCTAGCTGAGTAGACCACTCATATATGTGGAAAGTTAAACAGTGATTTTTTAAAAAGTTCAAATGGTATTATAAGGCACAGTAAATGCAAAGTGGCAAGCTAGTGGTTCAGACAGTAAGTGCTGTGGGCTTAATGATTCTTCATCTCAGGTTTTCTAGGGCTGTCCCATTTCCCAGCTGGCTGCCCTACAGCTTCCCCAGGACACTAGCACTTATTTGATTACAGAACCAGATTTGGGTATCACAAAATATGCTCACTGTTGTTATACAGCTTTTGTGGAGATTGGTGTCGTAGTGAGCTGGAGTGAGGGTTGGGGTGAAAGGGGCCATTTGAGAAAGCTTTATATAAGAATAACTCTGAATTTTCTAAAAGATTGGTAGACATAGAGGAATGGAGAAGGCATTTTAGGCAGAGGGAAAATGCATGAACAAGGGACCAGGAGTTGGAATAGATTAGTTTATATTTAAAGGACAGTTCATTCATTCATTCATTGAACAAATGTTTATCAAAAGCTTGCTAAGTGTCGGCAGTATTTTCATGCTGGACACACAGTGGTGAATGAAATAGGCAGTCTGCCTTCAGGATGCTAGTGGGGCAGTCAATTTATTTGTATGTTAACATACAAATAACCTGCAAATAAATTAGGGAAAGTGCTATGAAGGAAAAGAATGGGAGTCTGTAAAGGAGAATTAGATGGGCACCTTAGCTTCCCAGAGGAAGGTGACATGTAAGTGGACACCTGAAACATGGGGAGTGGAGGAAAGAGCGTTCCAAATGGGGAGGAGCGTTTTGAGGTGGGTAAAGAGGGTTTTGAGGTGGGTGAACAGGATGGCACTTTTGAGGGACTGAAAGACAGCTAGTGTTACTGGACCGTAGTGAGTGGACACATTTGACTGGGAATAATGTGTGCAGGCTGAAGCCAGACCGAAGCCAGGCTGGAGGTTTGGCTATGTTAAAACATTTTCTGAGACCAGGTTATCTCCGGGTATGTTTCTGTGTTCCAACCTGAGGGCTCCCTGGAGAGAGAGGGTCGTAGGGAGAAAGAGCAGGGTCTCTCCAAACATCTTGTGACTCCTGTCCCTGTTTGCAGCTGGGCCATGGGGCAATTGCCGTGGATGAGCGACAAGAAAACAGGAAGCTAAAGGTGGGTGCCATGTAGAGTCAGCCCAGAGGGGACACTGCAGGGTCTCAGAGGATGGCCACAGACCTAGGGCACTGTGGCTTTGATGCTAGGGTCCTGGACTGGGCTCAGGCCTGGAAAGCTCCTGGAAACGCTGGCTTCCCTGACTCTGACCTCCAGGTGGCCTTGGAGGAGGTGCTAGTTGGGGACCTAAGTCCAGAATGTCACTGCTCGCTCTGCCACTAGCTTGCTGTGTGAGCTTGGGCCTCAGATTCTGCATCTGTAAAATGACTGGACTAGATGAACTCAAGTCCCAACATTCTATAATTGATCTAAAAGCCTAATTAACTGTCGCTTTGGACTGCCCCAGAACTAAGAGAAACTTAGGAGGGGCACTAAGGGCAGGGGAGTCAGAGATTTCTGAAAAGCTGTGTCTTAGCTTCCTTTGGCCTGTGGGATATTTAGGAAGAATTATGGGGACCTTAGAGAGGAGAGACTGGGGCCTGAGTGAAACCTCCCCCATCCCAAGAAAATCCTGAGGCCTGTTGTGAAGTGCTGTGTTACCACAGCCACTAGATGGCAGAAGAGATCAGATCCGGGGGATTGGGGCAGGGAGAGGGAGGGAGGGACGGAGCAAGCACTTGTCTTTGGATGTTCCTTTGTAGACCAGATGGTGTTTCTGTGTCACTATGAAGAAATGTGTGTCACATCTGTGTGTCTGCACATACAGATGTGTGTATGTGTGTGCCTGTGAAGGTCTCTTGGGCATATGGGTAGAAAAAAGCAAACTGGATTAGGAATCAGAAGACCTGAGTGCTAGTCGTAACTCTCATTTACTCCCCACATGACCTCGGATAAGCCACCCAGCCTCACTGAGTTTTCATTTCCCTTTCTGTAGAAGGGGTGACAGCCTTGCTTATCTCTGGGGGCAGGGCAAAGCACAACGACACTTTGTGGACTGTGAAGGGCTGTACCCATGCACAGTGGGTCTCGCTGTGTGGTGTGTGGGTGAGTGTGTGTTTCTATGAGGGTGTACTTGCAGGGATGGACAAATCCTTGGTAATGTGGTATCCTTCATACGCATTGTCTGCTCCCTGTTGAGACTTTGGGATTATTCAGTATGTAGAATTAGCCAGTCATGGAAGAGTTGAGGGGAGGCTGAGAAAGAAAGCAGTATAACTCTCCTGGTTGAGATGAAGGAAGAGGGGAGGCCAGGATAGGCCTCCTGTGCTTTCACCCTGACCTCTGTGGGAGGGAGGCAGGGTTAGTGAGGCCTTCGTGGGGCTCCTCTCCTGGCTTGGGCAGGGGCCCACTGAAGCCTGGCTCTCCCCTGCTCAGCTCCCGTCTGTGCTGACCCGAGGGAGCAGCTCGGCCTCTCTGCACAACAGCACCATGCGCAGCACCATCTACCGGCTCATCCTCCACAGCCTGGACCCTCTGGGGGAAGGTAAGCAAGGCCTCCCCAGCCTGCGTGGTCTCCCTGTCCACTCCTTCCCTCCTGTGGCTGGACCAGAACTGGGACCTGCAAAACTGAGAGCAGTGGGTGGGGTGAGGGTGGGAATGGGAAGAGAGAGTTAGCAGAGGAGAGTGGGTGGTAAAGGCTGACAGCCTGGGAAATAGAGAGGAAGACACAGGACTCACCAGGAGAGGGCGCCAAGGAGCTAAGATCCTTAGGTATTCACATCCCATTACCTCCCTGCCTCTGTGTCCCCTCCTGTAAAATGAAGGGCTTTACCTGGAGTTAGTGAGGCCATGAGTGCCATGTGCCCTGCACTGGTCCATGTTGGGGCTGCCCTCAGTGACTTCCCCGTGAAGCCCACCACCCACAAGTTAGCCCCAGTGTCCCACAATCTCCAGCCAGGCAGCTTGGCTTAGGCTGACTGGCCAGGGCTGCCAGTGTAGGAACCTTCTCGTGTAGATTCCCGCAGCCCAGAATCTCTTTTTTTTTTTTTTTTTTTTTTTTT